AAAGCGGCACAGCAAAAGAGAATAATTCAGTGAAAAATAGTAGAAGAGGAAACTGTTTTCTAAGTATAATGTGTAAAGGAATCACAACTGTAGTTTCATGACATTTTCTTAACTGGTTCATTTATTTTTCTTTAAAATGAAACTATGGAAAGCCATGCCTTTTTAGTGAAGAAACTTACAAAAATAAAATCCAGCTTCTGAACTAAGATTACATGCTGCATGGTGTTTGGGTTGTTTTGCATTATCTATTCTGAGATCTTACTGGGAAATAAATAAGTAAAGAGTGAATGGAAGAAGCAGTTTCTTTCCTGTCCCTCATTCTGAGAAATAATAATATATGCTGCCAGGTAATTTCTTGCTTTACACATATACCTGCAGAGATCATCACATTTTTGATTTTTCTGTTGTAAACAAGAGAGATCAACAGAATGTTTTGGATAGGCAATCTTGTGTGCTTTAGTTTAGTTTTAATTTAGCCCATGTTCTTTGACACTAAATATTTACATGTAACACTACATGCACAGAAAACTATCTGTTCTTCATGGCCCCTAGTTACTACTTTTTTTTAAGGTCAAGCCTTGCTTGTCAGTCAGATGGTAGCATGGAATATATGAATTGGAATTGGACAACTCTGGAAACTTCTGAGTATGAGGTGATAGAACTTAAGCAGAAAACTGGCTTTTCAGTTGCCTTTTGCCTTGCTGGCATCCAATGAGCTATTGTCGATGCATAATACATTAATTCCATTCAAGGAGCTATAGAGAGGGTCACTTCTGAAGGCGAATCTTTCTGAAAACATCAGAACGGCTACAGGGTGGTCTTTCTTCTCATCTGTTTTCATCAAAAATAGGATACGCAAGTTCTTTATTAGACTATTAGATTTGCATCACCTGCACCCTAAGGCAATTTTTACCTGTTGCTGGAAATGACCCATGTTCCGGGTTAGAGCTGAGAGGAGGCACGAAGCTGCGATGATTCCTTAATGTGGGAGTCCTCTTTTCCTCTCCTTCTTGGAGAATGGCCTAAGATCAAAGGTTCCTGATACTGGGTGACTGGAACCAATTCCTTATTATATATGCGTTAGATGACTGGGCTCTATTTAGGTTATTGTAGGTTCTGAGGTCGTGTTTTTCAGTACACCTCAAATAAAAACAAGCTTTGGAACTAAACTGTAGAATGATAAACTAAGTCTACTGAGGGGAAAAGGATGCTTGCCCAAGCCGTAGTGCCAGTTTCTTAAGATGTACGGCTATTTATAAGGAGTGACAGATACAGTTAGTTTCGAGGTAAACTGTTGAAATTAGATATAATTTGTTGTTAAAAAGCTGCTGATGAATAGAGAGAACAGTTCCAAATCTGACCTCTGCAAGAAGGTGTGTTTTTTTCTTTTTTTTTTTAAAAAAGGGTATTTCTGCTCATTGAATACATCTATTGGGCTAATTAATTTCCCATATGTGATGTATTTTCCCTCTAGAATAGATATTTTTGCTGCCTTCTCTTTTTTGAGAAATAAGGATCCAGTTGGTCTTATCCTTCATTTGTCTAAAGTCTAGTTTAAAAAACCCAAACAAACAAAAAAACTACCCCAAAAGCAAAAAGAACACCCACAAACCAAACAATGCCCAAACAAAAAACTACAAGAATCTGCTTACTAGACCTTAAGACAGCATGAAAAATGGTTATATGTGTATATAACTGCATTTACAAGCAGATGTTTGCATCAGAGAGAGACTTATTTGCATAAACTATATGAATGTTTTGTTAATTAGAGCTTTTAAGCATCTTCTCTGAGAGCGACACCAAACTGTTCAGAGTCTAACATAGACATAGTGGAGCATAAAAAGAAAGAATAGCAGCCTTTATAGTGATTCAACAACAATAAATACGGTTGTAGACATGAATTTGCTCAAAGTCGGTCAAAAGAAATTATAACCTCAAAAGATTAAACAAAGTCTTCTCTCTCATCAACCTGGACAAATCCTATCTCAATCTGAGGCCATCACAAGAAATCAAGCCCAAGCAAGTGAGAAGCCTTTCCCAAAGTGAACAATATACAAGAATAAAGAATGGATAGCAAAAAAGTCTGTGCCCCAAATGGTCTTTCTTAGTGAAGATCCTAAATGAGATGTGGGCAGTTTGCTGTAGAAATAATTAAAGTGAAAACTTAGTTTACAGTTTTAGATCTCCTTCCAGAAAATTCTATTGAAGAGGTCTTCAGTCTGTTTTACTGCTGTTGTATTGCTATCTAGCATTTTTTAAAAAAAGCAAACAAAAAATACGACCCCACCCCAAAATCTGGCACACTTTACAGTAGCCGTGCAGGAGGTCAAAATAAAGAAAAAAACCTCAACTTCTTCACTATTTGGAAAGTGGCCTAGTAGCAAGTGAGAAAACAGACAAGAACCTGTGACTGAACTGTGCCGAGGATGTTCTGGTTGGGTTAGTGATGCTGGGAGTCTGTAGAGGTACAACTGCGATTAAAACCACGGGTTAAGTTTACGTACTGACAGCCAGTAATTGAAGTACACAGATCATGCTAATACGTCATTTAATCTACAAGCTGCAGAGTCTTTGATGAGGAGCTTGTTATATATTGCAAATCATCTGAAATTAAAAGTGTAGCAAAATTGCTTCATTTTTCCTGTCCCCTTTCACCCAACCCTCTAGCAAAGCCCTGCGGGGACACCGTGCTGAACTACATCTTGAGGCATTAGATGATGTGTCCTCATTAAAAATACAGCAAAACGCTGCTGGTAAGTGCTGGTAATACTGTGACTTGGCACTTTTAGTGGTATATTGATCAATTTCTATTTCAAACGTGATAAAGCTGACATGGCCTGTGGTCCCCAAAGATGTCAGGGAAAGAAACTTTTTTTAAAAAAAAATTAGAGCATTTAATTGTAACTGATGATGCGTGTCAGTCCAGGTCCCAGGTGGGCTTATAGCTGCAGCTCCAGAAAAAATGAGAATTCCCTGTGTGATCCTGATGGCTTCTGTACCATGAAATCTTTTTTTTTTGTTTTATGGTATTGAAGTTAAAAGTGACACACACCTTTTCCAGTGAGATGTTGGGAGCCTATGTGCTAACACTAGATGATGCCGAATACAAGTAAAGCTTTCTGGGTTCACATTTGCATATTTTACAAAAAATACCCACACCCAAACAAACCTATCCAATGTAGATATTTTAGAGAGCAGCAAATCCCAGTGTCTAAGCTGCAACGCTGTGTTTTTCACCCCTACCTCTATAGTTTATCACGACTGCTGTCTTTGAATGGGATCTGGCAGTAGCAGTAATGGATTTCCCTGCAGAGATGGGGTTCCGGGTAGCCAGCAGCATTTTAGGGTTTTGGTGTGTAGCTGTCCGCAAGAAGGACCACGTCGTGCTGGTCTCTGTTCCTGGTCTGGCTCAGTGCTTGCCCCAGTGCTGTCACGTGTCGGGTACCGGGACAGCTGTGTGCCAGAAGGCAATGACAAAAGAGGAATGGAGGACTTGTCTGTAGCCAGTTGTTTTCCTGATGTTTCAGTGTTAGGCTAACTCCAGCATGACTCTATGTGGGATTGTAACACTGGTAATGTTTTTTTTATTCCACTCTGTTATTAGCACTGTTTTCAGCCTCTGAGCAGCACTGAGAAACGCAAGTTACAGAAACCACATCTCTCTACCATTCCAGCTTTTACTTCTGCTGTCAGAAAAATTGCTAGATGACCTTGGTGCCTTCTGTATAAAATGATCTTAGCAGGAGAATGGCAATCTTCTGCAGAAGTGGGCTACAGCAGAAATCCTTCAGTAGGTGGGATGAGTCTACTGTTCTGGTCAGCACAGAGAGTATTAGGAGTAAAATCCTTGCAGAGTACTTGACATTAGTATAGATACATCAGACAGAGGCCTGGTTTAACTCTTTTGGCTTAGGTAATTTCACTTACGTTGTGTGCTCTGGCATTTAAGACTTTTTGCAGCATAAGGTTCCAGTATAAAGTTCAAGCAGTAAGACTGTCCTGCATGTTTCAGATCACAGACATTTAGTATTTGTTTTTTCTTTCTTTTCTTCTCACTTGCAAAACATTCCTTTGCATGAGACAGATTCTTGTGTAGCATAGAAGAAAATGTGTTTTTTAAAAGTTCATACTGAACATTGTAAACATCAATCAATAAAAAATGGCATTATCTCTAAAGTACAGAAATACAGAAAACATGTCATTTGAGAAATTTATGTTCATTCAGACTAGGTGATGGCCTGTCAGGTAGTGAGTTATTGTTAGATGACAATAACTCATGCACCAGTTGTATAGGGAGTTTTGTGCATAAAATGATATTTTATTATTTCTTTGTCAGATTTTGATTTTGTTGTTATACCTTCCTAGCACTTTGAACAAGAGAAATTGTTGTTTTGGCTTATAGGAGCTGTTCCACCTCTGTCACCAAAAGAGAAGAATAAGAGAAGCAACAGGAAAAAATCAATTTGTACACACTGTTCCCTGACTTTTACAGCTTTGCTAAGGGACAGTGCCACAAAGCAGCAAATAACTTCCACTGTCCTTTTCCAAGCAAGAAATTGAGCCCTGTGGTTAACCACTCTGGAAAACTGGAATTTTTTCCTTTAGTTGCTGAAAGACACGAAATTCTTTACACATTTGTGGCAGGGTAAACTATTTTATGATGGTAGCTTGTTAAGCTTGTTACTTGTGCAGACATAGTTTTATAAGGTTGTCTTGTGCTGGTTGATTTCAAGCTTTAGTGTCTTGAAATGAAAGACTTCTACTACAAAGTCTCTTTCAAGAAAAGAAGTTGTCATCAATTAAGAAGGAAGTTATTTTTGTTAAGGAAGGGGAGCTTCTGCCATCGAACAGCCGGGCAGTAGCGTTGTCCTTGGGTCCAGCAGGACCTGTGTTTTCCTTTATCAGTCATCCTTCTGTATTTGTTTGATAACCAGCTGCATTGTTCATGTGCAAGGACTGGTTGTTTTTTATAAGACACTTTTTTGTTTCTTTTAAACTAGAAAGATGAAAACTACAGAAGCCTACCACGAGATACTAGTAGCTGGTCTAACCAGTTTCAGAGAGACAATGCTCGTTCATCGTTAAGTGCCAGTCATCCTATGGTGGACAAGTGGCTGGAGAGGCAAGAACAGGTAATATATATGTGTGTATATATATTACTTTATCAGTCTAGTCTTTATGCTACTCCAAGCAATTATGAAGTGTATTTTTATGTGATATAGGCTCTGTAAGCATGATCCAAGCACCAGCAGTATGCTGACTAAATTTGTATGAGATAGCTTTTGCTTCCAAAAAAAACTACATTAAGACTGAAATGGATATCTGCAAATGATTTAATTTTTAAGTCATTAATATGTTTATGTAGTATGTGGAGTGCTGCTGTTCTTCACAGCTGGTACCAACAGGATTATTTCAATTAGAGGGTATTGTTTTTGTAAGCATTTTGCTTTTGAAAGCTAATAATACTGCTGAAGAATAGCCAAATATTGGTCAGTTTTGACATTGTACTTTTAAATGCTTTTTATATTTGTACGATATATTACTATTATATTTGTACGATATATTACTATTATATTTGAAGATAGTGTTATCATATTTATTTAGTGTACAGTTATACTGCTTTTGATCTTGGGCTTTATTGAGATACTGAGTAATTCCATCTTGGGATTTTTATTAATAAGCTGATAGTCACAGAGGTTTAACTATCTGATACAAAAATTACCTAGCAGTCTCTTTATGTATTTGTATGTCACTGAAATTTTCTAAAAAGTATCTTCAAATGTGTAAAGAAAATACAGTTTTACTATGGAGACTGAAAATGTAACAGGAAGCCCATCTGAAGGATCATTACCTCATTTTTCTTCTTTATTCAATGCAACATGAAAACATTTAGTTTTCACATTGACCATAAATTTACATATTTTATATTTTACAGCAATGTCACATAAAATCAGAATTTGCTTTATACAGAGGAGCTGCAAAATTAAGTTTTCCATTTGACATAGCCCAAGCTTCTTACTGGGCCTTGCAAATGGAGGCAGAGGTTTTTAGAACCCAACATGGGACTGGTTTCCTTCACCCTCAAATCCCACACTGATATCTTCAAGTCCAGCATTGCCGAGTCCTAGGATATTCCAAATATTCTTTATTCAAATCCATTCTTAGTTAAAAAGGAGCTTAAGTAATATCACAGAGTACAAAAACCTAAAAACCCTCAAATGTGAGCTATTAATTATTTTTGTATCTTGTAGTTATTAGCTGCAGATTAATTTAAAATTGTATGTTTTATGAAGACAGCTCTGTGGTCCTATTTTCCTCTGCATGTTTAAGGATAGTGACAGTACCGTTACGATCTTCCAGTCAAAAGCTGTAGAGTTAGTGCGGCTGAGTTTAGCTGCTGTCTCTGTATCTGCATGTGTTGAAGTGGAAATTTGGTGCCCAGATTTCAAGGCATCTCCTGTGACAGCTGTGGCTTGTTTGATGTTTTTGAGGCGTACTTCCATGCGTCATTAGAGTCTCACCACGGCAGCTAATGAAACCGTTGTCTTGGCAAAAGAAGGTGGATTAGGAATCATCTTATAAAATGTTGGCTACATGAATGTTTTAATGTGTGATGTCCTATGTATTTTTGTGCTGATTTTGGTCTCTGAACAGCTTAGCTAGATCGATTTATTTATCAGTTACGTAAGTAATTGGGCACTAGTCGTGGTCTAAAAGTGTGTATTTGTTACATGAGTTAAGTAGTTGTAGTCTGAAATTGTGAATTTCAGGTTTGTTCTGAGCAAGTTTTATGCTTTTTGTTTGTTTGTTTGTGGTGATCTTTATTTTTTTTTGAGAGTTGGGTTAGTTCTTTAAGTGTATTAATGAATCCTGGAAGACCAGGATCTTATCAGCTGGGTGATTAATTAGACTGAAATCTGTTTACCAAGGTATGCGCAGGATAAGAAATCCCAGAGTAAGAGTGGGCTGCAGCAGAGTTCTGCAAAGGGAAGGGCCTGGCAGTGGATGGAGGAGATGCAGACAGAGATACTTTTCCGCTCTTTTGGTTTTTAAATGCTAGTATATCTTTCAGCCTCCTCTGTGGGCTTTTTATTTCCCACTGGGTAAGCCTTTTAGTTCTGTGAAGATAAACTCAAATGACAATCTTGCTATCTGGCATAATCAATTAATTTAGCAACTTGCAGTCCTGTTCCTGTGTGCTTGATAGAGCTGTGGAGGGCTCTGCCCACCCTGCCAGTGTGTCCAGAAGTGTCAGGCAGCAGGTCTGGCACCAAGAGTAAGGCAGTGACAGTGCCAAGACATCTCTAGGCAGAGCCCATTCCAGATACCAGGGTAATAACAGTCCTGGTCTCCCCTGCCGTTGTGGCAGGTTATTCTCCTTTAGAGAAGATAGTGGTAAATGCTGAATTCATCTTGCATACTGCCCAAGCTTGTTGTTGAATGAAGGCTCTTCTGGCTTGAGTTGAGTTACTTATCTCAAAGCTTGCCTCATCTCTTCCTTTTGAATATAAGGTGAAAAACTTCTCAGAGATGATCTTTGTTGGCTTGTGAATGTTCACTGGAATTGCACTTTGAGGAGTGAAAGTGATGTGCCAAAGAACTGTGGTTACTGTTGTGTGGACAGTACCTCATTTCCTGTAAACAGAATAGTATTTCTCAGAATTTTTTTTGGTGTTTCTTAAGCCCACAAACTAAGTTATGTGAAAATATGTACCAAAGAATCATTGTACCATTATAAAGCCCAAAACCCAAATAGGGTTTCAGAATACAGTTAGAAAGTTAAGGATTGTATTTTTGACTCTCTCACTTAATTATTTCATTGATTCTTTCCCACAGATTTTCAAACAAGGAACAAAACTTAAAATTTTTTTTTAATTTGATTCTGAAATATCTTAAGGAAGGATATGGGTTTTGTTCTTCACCTTGCCCTCCATGGCATTTTCTTTTCCCCCACAGCAACCAAACTTTGAGGAATAGTTGAAAAATCTTATTTCCTCTGAAATTTATTCAGATGTATGGTAATTTTACTTTTATTTGAGAAATCCTTTTTCCTTCAGTTCACCTCAAGACTTGCTCAGGCCCTGATCAAATCTAGACTCATGCTTTTTCGTACCAGGGAGACATGAAAAGGGAATGCATGAAAGAGTTAAACTTTTCACCAGTTTCTTAAATTTAAATATACAGAAGGCTTCTCTCAGGTGGTCATTTTAGGTTCATTATTCAAATATTGGAACTATCAGCTATCAAGACACCTTAAACCGAAATGGTGTATTCCTTGCTCTGCTGGCGGGGTCTGCTGTGCGGAAGGATTAAGAGCACCTGGCTGTGCTGTGCTCTGGGAAGGGGTGTGAGAGCAGCAGGAGAGCAAAATCCTACAGTGACCCTGCTTAACTATGAAGCAGTTGATTAGATTTGCAAATACAAGAAGATGAGTTCAATTAAAACTATGCCTAAATATATATACATATGTATGTATATGTGTGTTCGATAGATATTTGTAGGTACCTGTATTTGTCAATGTGTGAAAGCAAGATGTGAGCTGGAGTAAAATTCTGTGATTATTACCACAGAACCTGTCTGATTTCTAAAATCCCAGTAGCTTTCTAGTATCTAGCAACAACCAGAGTTTAAAGCAATTTATATGTATTCTGAAATGGAAAGAGAACTTGGTTACTGCTGCTGTCTTCTTGAGCAGAAATGTGCCGTACAGAACACTTTCTCTAAGTTATTCCTGTTCGACATCTGTCCATAGTAATCTGGTACAGTTTCTCTAGTTCCTTTTCTGACAAGATCAGATGTGCGAGAAGCATATGGTCTGGTGTCTCCAGCTGTAGAGTACCTGCCTTCAGCTTGTATTTTCAGCAAAATAAGGCCTGCTTTTCACATGATTGAATATGCTCCCTTAAAACATTTGGATGCTATAAATTAGTGCATTTCAGCACTGTCAGCTGAAAAAAATCAGAGCTTCAGAGGTAGGTTAAGTGAATTTAAAACACTAGTTTCCTGTGGATTCTGATGCTTCAGCTTGCCAGTATTGTCAAATCTACCATTTAACAACAAAAACCTTGCTTCTGTTTTATGCCTTAACGTAAGGAGGCAGATATGCTGCTCATTGATTTTGTTTAGTTCTGAGTGTTTCAGAGCAGTGTAGCTAAGGTATATAAATATTTTTATTTTCACTAATGCACCTCTTCTCTGTTTCTCCTTGTCTAACAGGTGTATTTAGGCTTTTGTTTCTAGTTTCCTGTTACAACTGTAACTATGGTGGAAAGGTGTGCAGCTTCTCCGTTTCATGGCCTGGAGATGGGGAAGCCCAGGAGGTGGATACTTATCTCAAACTCCTCACATGCAGAGGTTGAAACTGCTGTAAAAATGAGTAAGGAGTTATACTTAAAGATTTGGAAAAAGGATTAGCTAGGTTTCGGTTGGAGGAATAATTTTTAACTGGTTATCCATTCCTCTGTACAACGCCAAGACAGTCTTGTTGCTTTCCCCTCTCTCCGAGAGAGAGACTTTATAATTTGTCTCTTGTGATAACAACCTTAATGAACGTAGAACCGTGACAGCATCTATATTATAAAATACAAAGATGGTCTTAAAGCTTGTCATATTCCTTATAAAGGATTTCTGTCACAGAGATATGCAGGTGTTCGAAACTCCAGGCCTAATGCTGAGGCCTGTCTGTGTTTGAGAGGTCTTCAGAGGATGTTCCTGTACGAGAGACTGGGGCTGTGTGGGTGTAGCCAGGAGGCTGTCCAGGCTACTCTAAGGCTGATCACGAGAGGAAAAAGTGTTACCAGTGAGTAAAAAGGCCATGGCTCATGCGGTTTGCTTGTTTCTGCAAGTAGAGCTGTCAGACACAGCTGAGAAAGGCATGAATGGGCACCTGATAATATCAAGTAATTGGCCGTAGCTGTAACTACGGACAGGTAGAAGCAGTGACCGGTGCATTGGTAGAGGATTCACTTGAGGTTTATGCTAGTCAAAGAACTGATTAGAAGACCTCAACGTGCCTCTGCAACAGCTCAAAGCGCCCCCAGTCCAATATCCACTTGCAAATTCAGCATTTTTAGTACTTAAGAAGATTTCTTGACCATGTTGTCACACTGGCTTCTGCCTGATGGGATTGTCA